ACCACCATTTCATTGTTGTTATTTTTCCTTTATTATCATATAACTTGTATTGAAGGATTATTGTAAATGAATTGTGTTGTGCAATTGAACAACGTTCAGACACGTGCCATTCAGACTTGGATTCTTGTAATAAACGTGTCAAAATTGAGTTGGAACCAAATTTATACATGCGTTCAAGTGCGCTTCTATTTAAATACAACAACAACTTTATTTTATTCATTTCGTAAATGATTTATTTTTCTTTTTCAACTTCTCAAGTAGGCAAATAATTGCATTGAAGCGAGTTATCAGGATTGTGAGAAAGGGGTGATGCTAAAAGAAAAATTAAATTTGAAATTTGATCTTTGAAGATAAATATTATTGTACTTACAAACACTTAGTCCTTTGTTCAGAAAAATTAAATATTAAAGAGTATGAAAAACATTTCAAATTACAAAAAGTTTTATATACTTGAATACATAATATGTAGGTATGTAGTTGGAACCACAAAATAAACTCTTAAAAATATTGGTACATTGCCAAAATGTTATTAAATATTAATGTATTCCTAACAATGTACATAGGGGAACTCGAAAAATCGGTTTAATTTTGTAAAAACATGTATCATTATACATAGTTTAAAAAAACTTTTGCTGAATCTAATTTGAAAATCCTTTCGTTTAATATGTACAGAAGCAAAAACAAAGCCGACTATCGTTATCGCTACCCTTTACAGCTCTACTACCGTTACTGAAATAACTGGAATTGCCGTTATTTCAATAATATTCTAAAATTCTTCTTCAATAAGAAATGATTGTTTGAAATTTCTGAAATACATGTATAACAAGTAAGAAAGTATAGTCGGGCATGGCCGACCATATGATACCCTACACCAGTTATGAATATTAAATGTGATTTATTTTTCATAATAAAGCATTTATCTTCAATATTCCTTTATTCCGATATATTTAAGCAATTTATGGATGAAAAACTAATTTTCTGAAAGAGGCTTTATATGGGGGCTAGGGGCAAATATGGACCAAGCCCGATAACATTTTGTGAATATATTTATATTTATATAATATTTTATTGTGCTGAATTTCGTCGCGATATTTGTGTTTATAAGTTAATTTTGGACATTCAAGTAATTTTCTGAAGGGGACTTTGTATGGGAGCTAGGGTCAAATGGGGCCCGATCTTTATGAAATTTGGCAGGGTTATCAAGACTTCTATAAAACTAAGTTGTGCCGTATTTTATCGATGTATCTGTATATTTAACATAATTATGAGCTCAGAAGCCCTTTTCGGGGGGTTCTGTTCTATGGGGGCTAGGTGAAATAATGGACCGATTTTAACCATTTTCAATAGGCTTCGTCCTTGGGTCAAATAAAACGTGCGTGCCAAATTTCATCCAATTACCTTGAAAATTGCGACCTGTACCTTGCGCACAAGGTTTACATGGACAACCAGCCAGCCAGACGGACGGACGGACAGACGGACATAGCTTAATCGACTCAGAAAACGATTCTAAGCCGATTGGTATACTTTAAGGTGGGTATATGACGAATATTTTTGTATGTTACAAACATCAGCACAAACCCAATATACCCTCCCCACTAAAGTGGTGTAGGGTATAAAAATCTGATACAACTCGTAAAATAATTCAATATACTAAAATGTATACTATTATGAATAATGTAATGAACAAAATAAGTAATACCCAAAACAATAGTTATTATTAAGAATATAATAGAAATTCTTAAATGTACTAGTAGCGTACATTGTATGAAAAACTATTGTTTGAATACAGAACTACAGTAAATTTTTCGATCAACATTAGACTGGTACTTAAAAAACTAGCTAAAGCTATACAAATATTTTCATAAATATTATTTGTACAATTCAAAATCGATATCATAATGTTGTATGTCGTAATTTGCTTATTATTTTGTTTTTGTTTCTAAAATTTTTATTTGAAAAATATTTATGACATACAGCGATACGACGACACTAATTGTGAATAGTTTAAACATTTTGGTAAATTATATAATATTAATAGTAAATGTATTTGCTTTAGAATTATTTTAGTTTTGTTATACTCATTGTAGGGCATTCCGAACAATATTAAATACATAATTTAAAATTCAAAACACATTATACATATATAAACTCGTAAACAAAACATTCCTTCGCAACGTTAAAAACAAACTCAACTGACAAGAACAGAGTAGAGTTACGTTACGTCTGTAAGAATAATTGAAAAAATATTCCTACAAGTATAAGACATTATTATTATTGGAATAATTTAAATATATTCTGTTGTTTAAATTCATTTTTGACTGCGGTGCCTAATTTGTAGATTCACAGGGCAAAAACAAAAACACCAAATGTTTACTTAAGAATATTGGATTTTAAATCAACAATAAAGATGTTCCCACACCAAATGGACACAGACATGAAGATGACTGTTTAATTATTTAAAAATAAACAAAGATATACAATTTATTTTAATATGATCAAGTTTAATATGTTGTTTATATTTTGTGCATTAAAGTTGTTATTAAAATACAGGATCTCCCAAAAGGAAATGTAGGTTTTCATTAAAATATTAAATATTAAAAATATTTTCTTAATTTAGAAAAGTTTTTAATTTGGAAACACTAACTGTACCTACAACTGCAACTTAACTGCAAAATTCAATGTAAATTGTACTTTCAACCGTCAAGCAAAAACTTATTTAATTATCAATGAACCATTTAACCACAGAATAGTTTTTCTTATAAAAACTTTAAAGTTTATGCTTTGAAATTTGATAAATTTAACCACAATGCGGTTTATTATTAAAATCAAATAAAAAACTCTAATAAAAACGAATAATATTTACAGATACTTAGATATAAACGTTGGAGAAAATAATCAATGCTTTCAAAGAAATTATATTAAGCGAAATGTGTGGGTCATATACAGTCGTTTCAAAAATTAATCGTACAATGAACATGTTGGTTGTATATTGGTCCAAATTTAAAAACATAGTTATCGTCTTATTAAATATTGAAAAGTCGAATTGTTAAAAATTTTAATATGTCGAAAAGTGATGTGAAAGCTAATTAAAAATTGACACAAAGCTTAGGCCTGAGCTTCTACATAAAGAACTAAAAGTCAAGCGAAATGTTGGATGTCAAGGCAGAAAAAAATATTTGTAGAGAAACAAATATTTTTTATCTTGGTTGAAAGGATTGGTGGATATTTTAGGGAACTAAAAATATAGGATAACTTTTTTGATAGCTCTTTTTAGGTAATACATTTATGTATTCCTATTAAGAAATTCATTTTACATAGTTCCATTTTTCATTGGCATTGTTTTGCTCTAAGCACTTGACAGCCAATGATCATCATTACAATGGTAATTTTCTTTTAATGTTTTTAGACCAAATTTCCATAAACACTAATGGACACGCGACATTATGGTCGGTCGCTCCATTTTTTATATAAAACATTATTTAACTCAGTTGATTCTATTGCGGTGAATATTTAGTATTCTTTGTATAAGTGGGGATGTGGTTTTTGTTTTATTTACAACACCTTTTTTAGATTCATGAGCTTTTTTTTAGATTAAATAGTTTTTATTTTAACTTTTGTGTTCATGGTTTAAATGAGAATATGTACATATAGATGTATTTGTATACATATAGAATACTAGGTAATGACTCAAAATAAATAGAAATTGAATATTCATTTATAAAATAGTCGATTAATGAAAATGACAAAAAGAGTTGGTTTACAATGAAATGTGGTTTTAAACTCTCCTTTTCTCGTTTTAAATGAAAGTGTTGGCATAAATTGAAAAAGGTAACACTATATCTGTAGACACACTTCAAATATAAAACCTACCGCTGGGGTTCAATAACTACCGTCTTCTTTATATAGAAATGCTATAATAAGTAACTTATTCTGAAGGAAACTTCCACCCTACTTATTTGTAAACATGTGTAAGTTGTGGAAATAAATTTTTAATATTTTAATGTAATCATTACCAGAAAATTTGGTTAAAGTTTTAATAAATGTGTTTTAGTTTTTTTATTATATTCAGTTAATACTTATATACAGCATTTAGTTAGTTTGTTTGAAAGAAGGATGTATGTTTCATCAAATCCGAAGAAATATCGCTAGGCCGTCGTCGGGCTTTATATGTACATATATAGCATTTACAAATCTCTTTAAAAATCAATCATTTGCAATGACTAATCTAGACTTACGAGTAGGTATACGTCAAAATTAATACATAACTCACTTTTTGTATAATTTATTTTTTACTTTTGTTTAGATTCTATCAGCCACACATTTTCCGAAACATTTTCAAATGCGTACATACAACATATATATGTAAATATGTGCATATGTATTAAATTTTTATGTAGATATTTACATATATTATTTCTACGCTTGAGTGTTGCTTTTCACTAACTACGGCATTGTATTCCCTCCTCCTCCTCTTGACCTACTTACTCAAACCCATGTTTGTTTGAAAGCTTCAAATTAAACGCAATGGCTGCTAGTAGTGAGTAGTAAAGTACAATAGGGTTTTATTTATTTTTTTGATGTTTGATTCGTAGGAAAATACAACTTTACATGGAATATAAAAGATTTACATACATATGTATGTATGAATGTATGTATGTAATGTTTATTACGTATTTTACATAGGTACATAAATTTATTTGTAATGCTCAAGGCTAAATTGGGGTCGACATGGCTTTGTGGCGGCAAAATCTATGTTTTGTTTTTGTTGTTGAGTTGAATTTTCTTCTATTGAATAGATTCAATGTGAATTTTCTACACTGACCGGAAAAATAGAGTTCAAGTACTTAAAAAAAAATAAAGTATACTTTAAAAACAAGTAACTAAATGGGAGGAACTTTCTACTTGTTTTTACAAGATTGTTAATCCATTACCCGAAATATTTAAATATATTTAAGAATTATCTAACAATAATTAAATAACCTTTTATTTTCTATTTTTAGTTACCGATGGGTGAAAAACGGCAAAAAATTCGATTGGCAAGCATACGATAATCGTATGTTGCAGCAACCTGGACGTGGTACCTTGGTTATTACTTCACCAAAAGATGAAGATTTGGGTCAGTACCAGTGTTTTGCCGAAAACGAATTCGGTATTGCCACATCAAACTCTGTGTTCGTACGCAAGGCTGAACTGAATGCATTCAAAGATGAAGCTGCCAAAACCGTAGAAGCCAATGAGGGTGAACCTTTCTCGCTGCAGTGTGAAGCACCTGACGGTTGGCCAAAGCCCACAGTCAATTGGTTAATACAACAGTCCATCGATGGTAATATCAAATCGATAAATAACTCTCGCATGACTTTGGATCCCGAAGGCACATTGTGGTTCTCGAATGTTACACGAGAAGATGCCAGTGATGATTTCTATTATGCTTGCTCTGCTACCTCAGTGTTCCGTAGTGAGTACAAGATTGGTAATCGTGTGCTCTTGGATGTTAAGCAGACCGGCATTAGTGCTTCCCAAAATAAATTCGCTCCCAGAAAACAGTATGTAACACGTAAGAATGAAGTTGCTCTAAGAGGTAAACGTGCAGAACTCTTTTGTATATATGGAGGAACGCCATTACCGCAAACCGTGTGGAAGAAAAATGGCGGACCGATAGAGTGGAGTGATCGAATAACCCAGGGTCATTATGGCAAATCATTGGTTATACGCCATGTTAATTTCGATGATAATGGTACCTATACTTGTGATGTTTCCAACGGTGTGGGTAACGCTCAATCTTATTCCATTAACCTACAAATCAACGCCATTCCCTACTTTACTGTGGAACCTGAAATGCAAAATGCTGCCGAAGATGAAACTGTCGAATTTCGTTGCGAAGCTGCTGGTTCTCCCGAGCCCACGATTCAATGGATTCACAATGGTAAACCCATTAGTCAAGCCCCGCCCAATCCCAGACGTATCGTGGAAACCAATCGCATTATTATTCGCGATTTGTTGAAATTGGACACTGGTAATTATGGTTGTAACGCTACCAATTCTTTGGGCTATGTTTACAAAGATGTCTACTTGAATGTCTTGGCCTTGCCGCCAGAGATTGAGGAGCCTCCTCGCAAAGAAGCTACTGTTGATGGCAAGAACGTAACCATGCGTTGTCGTGTGTTCGGTGCTCCCAAGCCTCAAGTTAAATGGATTCGTAATGGTCTCGAATTGACTGGTGGTCGTTACACAGTATTACCATCGGGAGACTTACAAATCGAACAAGTCAGCTTCAATGACGCCGGCCAATATACTTGCTTCGCTAAGAACAAATTCGGAGAGAAATCAGCGAACGGTTCGTTGATTGTTAAAGAGCACACACGTATCACCCAAGAACCACAAAACTACGAAGTAGCCGCTGGTCAGTCCGCCACTTTCCGCTGTAACGAAGCTCACGATGACACATTAAATTTGACAATTGAGTGGTGGAAGGATTCCCAGCAAATCGATTTCGAAGCTGAAGCCCGTTTTGTAAAAACCAATGATAACTCGCTGACAATTGCCAAGACCATCGAGCTGGATTCGGGCGAATATACTTGTGTGGCCCGAACAGAATTGGATGAAGCCTCCGCCAAAGCAAATCTGATTGTCCAAGATGTTCCGAATGCCCCTCTTCTCTCTGGAGTTAAATGTATGGAACGCCATGCTGAAGTTAACTGGGAACCACAGGGTGACAATCGTTCTCCCATTTTGCATTATACCATTCAGTATAATACCTCCTTTACACCAGCCTCTTGGGACGTTGCCTTTGAAAAGGTGCCTTCTACTGATTTCTCCTTTACGGTCGATATGTCACCTTGGACGAATTACACCTTCCGTGTGATTGCTTTCAACAAAATCGGTGCTTCGCCTCCATCGAGCCACAGTGAAACTTGCACAACACAACCCGACGTTCCCTACAAAAATCCCGATAATGTTGCTGGTCAAGGTAAAGAACCCAACAATTTGATAATCACCTGGACTCCAATGCCTGAGCTAGAACACAATGCACCCAATTTCCAATACCGTGTGTCTTGGAAACGTGATATTCCTGCAGCATCTTGGGAAAACAAGGACATCTATGATTGGAAGCAAGATAGTTTGGTAATTACCGATCAACCCACATTTGTGCGTTACATCATTAAAGTTGCTGCCATTAACGAACGCGGTGAAGCAAATGTAGCCGCTGAAGAAATTATTGGATATTCCGGCGAAGACCGTAAGTATTTTTACAAACAATCATAAACGTGTACATGACTTTAGATTTTTATAAAAACCCTATTATACTCCATTCAAAGGTCCTTTGGAAGCTCCCACAAATTTCAGTATGATCCAAGTAACCGGTGCCACTTCAGCCATCTTAGGCTGGAACCCCGTAAGTGCTGAATCAATCCGTGGTCACTTTAAGGGATACAAGATTCAAACATGGACTGAAAAGGAGGGTGAAGAAGGCTTACGTGAAATTCACGTTAAGGGTGATTCTAACCAAGCTTTGGTAACACAATTTAAACCAGATTCCAAGAACTTTGCTCGTGTTTTGGCCTACAATGGACGATTCAATGGTCCCGCTAGTGCCGTTATTGATTTTGATACACCTGAAGGCGTTCCGTCCCCCGTAGAATCACTTGAAGCTTATCCTATGGGCTCCTCTGCTTTCTGGTTGGTCTGGAAGAAACCCTTAAATCCCAATGGAAAACTTACTGGCTACAGAGTATATTATGAAGAAGTGAAAGGCAGCTATGTGGGTGAAAGACGTGAATATGATCCTCATATTACTGATCCAAATGTGACAAGTATGAAAATGGCCGGTTTGAAACCAAACACAAAATATCGCATTTCTATTGCCGCTACCACTAAAGTAGGAGAGGGTTCAGAGTGAGTATACTTATAGAGAAACGTGTATGAATACGAATAGAAAAAATTTTCTGTTTTTCAGGCATTTCATTGAAAAACGAACTTTGTCAGAAGATTCACAAGCACCAGCTGTGCCCTTCTTTGAATATCAACAATTGCCTTCAGAAAATGGCTTAGCCAAGTTCCGTGTCAACTGGAAACCAAATACTGAAGGACATGCTGGTACACATTTCTTCACGCAATACAGGTTAAAAGCGCTAAGAAAAATACTTTTCGAACATTTAACTATAATGAGACTTTCTTTTATACAGAATTAAAGGCGAAACAGAATGGAATAAGGCTCCAGAAGAAAAAAATCGTGATTATCAAGAAGTGGCCGGTTTAGATCCCGATACAGTCTATGAATTCCGCGTAGTGGCAGTTGACGGTCATTTTATGACTGAAAGTGCCGCACAGGAGGTTGACACCAATGGTGTCGATGGTCCTATCAAAGTTCCAAATGAAAATCTTGCAAATGCCGGCTGGTTTATCGGCATGATGTTGGCGTTAGCCATCATAATCATATTATTTATTATTATTTGTATTATCCGTCGCAATCGTGGAGGCAAATACGATGTTCATGATCGTGAATTGGCCAATGGCAGACGAGACTACCCAGATGAAGGTGGTTTCCATGAATACTCACAGCCGTAAGTTAATATAGGAAATATATACTTAATTCAATTTTAATAAACTAATTCATATTTACTTTGTTGTATTTTCTCCATTTATTTTAGTTTGGATAATAAGAGCGCTGGTCGTCAATCTGTAAGTTCAGCCAAGCCAGGTTTGGAAAGTGATACAGATTCTATGGCTGAATACGGGGATGGTGATACAGGTATGTTTTCCCAATAATAAAAGCTCATGTACATACAAACAGAAATTCAATTACTATGTGTAGTTCATTGATGTTTTATTTTTTATTTTTTTTTTTTTTATTAATTATTATTTTTCTTTGATTTTTATTTATTTGCATTTATGTTGAAAATGAGCTCAGCAGGTGCACGTAAAGTAAATCAAACTTTACCTACTTTATCAGAACATATAGATGAGGCTTCATCGTATGGTGTTAAAAAATAATAGATTTTTTTATCTATACCACAATACATACATATAATAAATTTTGTAAAAATTGTAAGGTAAAATATTGGTTAAACAATTTTTTGCATGTTGAACGATAAAGAAATTGAAAATACGACAAACTTTAATCACGGCTTCAAAAAATGTATAACGCAACAAATGTTTTTTTCTTTGGATAACTAACAAATCAAAACCACTTCTTTAGTTAATGATTGCTTAATTTTTTTGAAGCAAACTAATAATGATTTACAAGATACATAAATATGTATATTTAATATTCAATAAAAGGACAACAAAATTAAATATAATCACGATTTTTTTCACACATACCTATGCTTAATGATTTTTTCTGAAATATAAATTAATTTCATGTTTTAAAATATATTTTTGTCCAAATTAAATTGTAATATTTGCTTTATTCTGGCACCAGTCCTAATTGAATTCTGATGAATACTGTAACGATACTAATAAAAACAAATACATATCAAAAACTTTTTTATGCAGATTTCAATTTTATTAAATTCTCAAATAATAATTTATTTGGTCATTTTAAATTTAAAAGTTCTGCTTAACCACTTATCGTTAGTTATATAAGTAAATATTTTTACAGAAAAAGCATCTATGTGTCAGTTACTATGAAAGTTTGTTTAAAAACATAAAATACATGAAATGAAAAATCTTTCAGCCATTTAATTTTTTGAGCACAAAAAAAATGTTTTTTTTTATGTAAATTTTATTGTCGAGCACTAGTCTGATTGAGGGGTTAAAATTAGAATAAATCAAAGTAACAAAAAAATATAAATCCATATGTATATAAACTTTGATTTCTGGTACGATCTAATATAAAACCTGCAAGATCTTACAAGTACTGGAACCAAGCGTTACACTCATGTATAACATAAATCACTTCAAATTCACCGGCATTTGTATTTGAAAATACAGAAAATGCAAGTTATTAAATTTTATATTTATAAAAGTTTCATGTTTTATTTGGCTTTGTTTGTTTATTTTCTTTAAGTATTTTAAATAACACGCCCAGCTTTGAAGCAACATCATCATAAACACATTCAGAAAGCATCAAAACATCTCATCACAATTGCAATGTTTTTTTATAAATAAACCAGCTCATTTTCATCATCATGCAATAGAGCTCAAGCATATTTATTGTTATAAAATTTTTTAAATTAATTTATGTTTTATTATTTTTATTTTTTTATGTTTTTAATTTATGTGTCTTGTGTTACGATTTGACAAATAATCAACCACCTTAAAATCAACCAACCTCCACCAACAACACCTGTTTTATCATCACCTATTGAATTTTGAAAAATGAAATGCAACTTTATTTTCTACCACTATGTGATGTCATCGCAATATTTTTAAAACCGTGTGTAGGCATGAATGAAGATGGTTCATTTATAGGTCAATATGGACGTAAAGGACTTTGATTTAGTTTAAAATAAATACAAAAAAATATAAATTTAAAGAAAAACCAGCAACCCCCCTTACAAACCATTATATAAACTACAAAAATATTGCGATCCAGCAAATTCCAAATTAATAATTAAACAACAATCATCACTCTCAAAATTAAATTATATGATTATTATTTTACAAAAATCAACTGCCAGCAGCTACATATTGTTTACGTTTAATAATATAAAAAGAAAATCTCGAAAAAACATTTAAAAAGAAACGAATAACAATTGGATATCTAAACGTCATATGTTCTATTAGTTTTTTACAAATTATTGGCGTATGTAATTGAATTTTAAGTTTTTTACTTTTTATTTTATTTTACATTGTCATTATTTTTACTTTTTTTATTTTTATTATTTTACTTTTTTATATTGTCTTTTTATAAGTATTTAGTGTAGCTATTATTCGTTTTGTCCTTCCCTCCTTCCTCTAATAATGTAATGACGCTCTCTCTTTTTTATTTTATTTTTTTATGTAATGAATATATAGTTTTTTATATAATAAAGCTTAACATTAAACATAATTTTTTAGTTATTAATTACTATATATAATGAAATATAAAAAAAATCAAAAAATATTTTGTAATGTTTTTATGTAAATTTAACTTAGTTAAGTTAAATTTGTACCTCTTTTCGTATTAAAGAATAATAAAAAACACAAAATAAATAATTAAAAATCGTAAAAACCCAAAATATTTTGAGTTAATTATTTCACAAAGTAGTTTTGTTTTGAAAACCTTTTAGTTTTAAAAATTTTTTAACAATGTTTAGAATTTGAAAAAGGTATTTATTTTTACATTTTATTTTATTTTTAACACTTCTATTTTTATAATTCGATTATTTGAAACCCCTTAATAAGATAGACATTTTTTATTTAACTTTTTAATCCTTTATTAATAAATAATTAAATAAAAATGTTGTAGAAATTAACAAACTTTAACCTATATTTTAACAAAATATTTTAAACATTTTTGAAATTTGGAACCATAGCTAAACTTCGAAAAATTGAAATGAACAAACAATATGTATGTACATTAGGGTAGTCCAATTTGTATGGAGGAAAAATAATGTGTCAATGTTGCCATCTAAAATTAAAGTTTAATTGATTCTAAGACCCCATTTCAAAAAATTTTTAGCCTGGCGTCAATATTTGGTGAGCTGGATCAAAGGATAAAAACAACATACAAACCGTTATTAACAAAGAAAGCATAACAAACAAGTAGATGCTTAGAATAAATTGTGTTCATATTTTAGATAAACTGTGTTATATACCAATGTAGAGCTAATGAAAATGCGCGTATACGGATGTACATATTATGTACGTTAGATAAATATAGCTAGCACAATACCGGGGAGAAAATAGGATTAAAAATATTTAAATAAAAGAAATATATCGAATTTCGAAAAACAGAAAAAACCATTTCGGTGAAATTATATCAGGTTTATAATGTAATTATTTCAATTAATTACATTAAATAATTCCATGTAAAAATTTGAAAAACTTAAACATTTTTCGAAAAGTTACGACATTTGTAATAATTTTGGAGTTTTATACAAAATTGTGTTATGCCATTGAAATAGTTACCCAAAGACCATTCATATGATACTAAATTTACGTATAGTTTATATGCAAGAAATATAATAAAAATCATAAGAACCTTAAAAAAGAACCTTTTTATTCTTTGATCCAGCTCACCAAATATTGACGTCAGGACAAAAATTTTGAGAAATGGTGAACCAAATTTAAATTTTCGGTGGGAACATCAGTAACTTCCATTTGGGTGCCATATTGTTTTTTATCAAAGATTTGGCTAGACCAGCCTGAAATCTAAACACCTGTTTGGTTGTTTTCAAGATACATAGTTGTAACGATTCATTACATAAAGTTGAAAATTTTTTATTTTCTGTTCAATATTTACTTACTTGCAATACTTATTTTATAAAAATAATTTCAAATTTAACTGAATACAGAAGAGGTTTATGTTTATACCTAAAAATGTTTATACCTAAACCGGTGTCGCAACGTTCTATGTTATAAAATTGTTTATGACAATGAATGATGCGACACCGATAGAACAATTATTTTTCGTTAACTTTTTCATCGGAATCGTATACAAAGTAACCCATAGCAAGAAATAATTTTATTTTAAATGTTTGTAACTAAAATAACCTTATCGTTAGCATTAGTTTATATTTCACAAAATACCTCATACATAAATAAAAATGGTGAAAGTTATTTTAAGATATACATTATTTTCTTTTTCTCTTAAGGTCAATTTACTGAAGATGGTTCTTTTATTGGACAGTATGTACCAGGTAAACTGCAGCCTCCTGTAAGTCCACAACCCGTTAACAATACACCTGCGGCACATACACCTACAGCGCCTCCAGCTCCAACACAGCAGAATGCTGCGGGAAATAATGCAAATACTACAGCTGCCGTAGCTACTTATGTCTAAATCTAATTCCTAAAAATGTTTCTTATACAAATTATAAGAAATAAACCTAAAAAAACAAAGCGCAATTTCTGCAAGAAGAATTAAAAATGCAAATTATATTTAAAAACAAATATTAATATGCTTTTTCAAATATGCTTAATTATATTAAAAAAACAATTAAAATTTTTTGGTATTCTCTTATTTTAATGGCAAATTTTCTAAGACATGCAGCTTTTTTAAAAATATTTTTTTTTAAGGAAAAGAACAAGAAATTTAACAAACATTCTAAATTTTTAGTCCGTAAACCTTTTCAAAAGCCTTTAACGAAATTAATAAAATATGTATAATAATACACAGTAAAACAAATAATAACAATTAGGTTTATAGTACGTATATATAATATTACAACAAATGTGTGTGTGTTTAATTTTTTTTATAAGTTTAATAAAATTTTAAATTACTAAAATGCATTAATAAATATACATATTAGGGTTTTTATTCAGTCGTTGTTCCCCACTAAAATTAATATTTTAAAATATGTATGTTCCAATATTTAATTATGGAAAATTTTAAAAGTAATAGATTGTCATTAGATTATTCTGTGTAAATTTACTCAAATTCGTAAAAAAAGTGTATCTAAAAAAATATTATTTTAAAAAAATTTAAGGGAACATCCAACGATTAGTTCGTCACCCTGATATGCATTATTATAAATATAAAATATGAATTTTAACATCAAGAATCTCAATATGTTTTTGCAATGTCTACTATTTTTGATTTTTAATTCTTCATTTATTATAGTTATTTTATAAGAAGTATTTAAATAAATGTACATTATATAAGTTGAATAATAAAATATTAACATATTGTATAAAATACATACTATGTTTCTAATCTTATAAAATGTATTTGAAATGAAAAAAAATAAACGACAGTAATGTTCAATTGATTTTCTTTAAAATTAGATTATAATTACTTGAAATTTACATTAACTACATATATGAATTTATTTTAAGTAGGTATGTATAACCTGTGTTCATTTTTATAACTTTTTTTAAATACTACAGAAATAATTACAAAAACTAAGCATTTTTAAAAAAACAAAAATAATGTTAAAAGACAATTCTCCTGTATGCGTTGAAAACAGTACTAAATTTAGGTAATTATTGTGAAAGTCATTTATTTAATAACAATTTTTTTAATAATAAAACTTTTTCAAGAGAAAATATCAAAAGAATTAAATATAAATATTACAAACTATTAATCACAATTAGATCGGCTTTTAAATATGCATCCTAAGTTCATTTACACCGAGTTCTTTCATTACGCTTTAAAATTGACACTATTAAATTTTCAATTTAAAAAAACTATATAATGTTTTAAATTATTTTAAGTCTATCTTATGATATTTTGCAATTCGTCCAATAGTGTAATTAATGTTTAATTAATTTTTATATTTAACAATTAACTTTTCTTAATTTGTTATTTTGCTTTAACAAAAATTAAAGAAAATCAATTTCATTTGAACATAAAGAAACAAAATTTATTAATTAATAATAATAAAAAATGTTAATGTACAAGTTAAATAAACACAAATAAATTTTATTAACCATAAATTATTAGCGATTTTTCATTTCTGTTGCCTGTTTGTAATAAGTTTTTTTTTTAAGAATTTTTCAGTTTTAAGATTTTAACTTTTTTTTGACTTATTAAATAAAGGTTAAAATGTTTGCTTTATTGATGATTGAAATTAATTACAGGGTTGCTTAGAAAAAATTTATGTAGGCATTATTTGAAATATAAAATTGATTAAATAAACTGTATCGTTTTTCGTTTTTGTCTCCTGTTCTAATGTAGATTTTATGTTGAATTAAGAATATTTATAAATGATTACAAAATAAAACACAATGAAATAAAAAAATATTTTGCTAAACAATTTTCTTAAATAACCATAGAATCCCTCTTCCCTCCCACATACAAAAAAAGACAACCTGCACGCATATCCCAACGAATGAATAAAAATATGATAATATTAATAAAAAAGGGACGTATTCAAATTCAAAATTTACCAGACTTTAATTATATAGCAAATAGTAATATATTCGATTTATTGAACAAACTTAAAAACAGTACAATTTACAAACAATTACAAAAAATGTTAGTAAATCAAAATAATTATGTAAAGGAAATGGGTAATACATTGAAAGGGTAATCTCTCAAACTCATATACAAACATACAAACATACATATGTCATATTCATTTTTGCACTTACAATATGAAATCAAATACAATGTAACTTAAACTCAAAAATGTATAAAAAAAAACAACGACACTAAGGTGAAAAAAATGAAAAGGAAGTCTAAAATATATTAAACAAATGAATGTGATTTGTTAAAAATAGTCAATGAATGATGAACATTTTAGCTGCAAAATCTAAACTAAATAAACTATTTTAACCCAATTTTTAATATTAAAAATTATAAATATAAAAAACATGTCTTAACATACACAGCATAGAATTTTCATAATTTTCACTGCCATTAATAAAGAAATTTCATAAAATTGTAGGGAATTATCTTTGTAATTTCTATATAAAAACATTGTTAAGGCATGTTATAAACCCCAATACATTTGATTGACCAGTAACATCCCTTTTTATTACTATAACATTCTAATTCACTAAAATTTAACTTATTGTATCTATATATGTATGTATTTAAATCCAAACTAACCAAAAGTTAAAACTATCCAATCTTTTTTATTCCACATATTTTTACTTAAAGAAAATAATTTGTTAAAATATCAATCACAATATATGTATGATGAATTTGAAGAAAAAATATTGAAAATAAAATTAACAATGTTTTTTAGCAAATAAAATAAATATTTTAACACAATTTAAAAACCAAATAAATAAAAACAAATACATAATATGTAAGTGTGTATGAATTAAAGTGATTAACAAAAATTTGTATGCTAATAAAAGTATATATTCTAATAAATAAAATAATAAAAACATTACGAAACACACGGCATTTTTATCTCGAAGGATTTAAAATCGAACATGTATGTATAACTTTAAATATCAATTAGAAGCGTTTTTAAACTAAAATTTTAATATATAGCAATATCAAGTTCCCAAAGAATAAATTTGTAAAAATCAAACCAATTTCTCTTAATTAGATTTAGAGCTGTGTGTTTTAAATCGCTTCTTGTAGACAAGTAAGTAAAAACTTTTTACTTAGATTCCGTTGATATAATCATTATTATACCCTCCACCGTCGTGAAAAGGTTATGTATAAGTTTGTAATAATATAATTTTCCGAACCTATCCGAATTGATAGCGGTGTCTGTTGAAACAAATATTTTAAAGACCTCGGATATGTGCGGGATTCAAATCTTTAATAATTAATTCTATCATAAATGCTTTCGAGAAGTTTATTAATTTAAATTAGCAAAATCGGTTGATAACCGTGAGAAAATCAAACAACCTATAAGCCTAACAGCTAATTCAACACATTTTCTCACATTAAATTATTAAAATCGGTTCAAATTTCAATTAGCCATTCAAATTTTCATTCATTGATATTACCACAAAATTTTGCATATGAAATTTAGATCGGTCCGTAATTCACCGTAAAATGTCCACTTCTGAAAATCAATTTAACAAACATGATTCAGTAACCAATAACCAAATCGGCTCAAATTTAACACGAATGTTGTACATATAAAAATTATTGATCGAAACATTTTCAGGATTAGCCCATCGTTGGTCATAATTCCATTTAATGTCTACTTTCAAAAATCACTTAATCGTAAAGAACACATAAACTACCCAGAAAAATTTTTTGAAAATGTAATAAATTCATCAAATAGTAGAAGAAAAACCTGAGTTTTACATTAGCGTCACATTGTTAATTTTTGAGGACTTTTAGGTAGATCATTTAATCTTGATTAGAAAATCCGATATTTGGATTTCAAAAATAAAATACATACATTCTTCCAATGACACGCTTATAAAAGCAAAAAATTAAAGTTTTATAAATAGTTTTTTATGTGATTAAGATGTCTTTGGAAAAGTAAGACTTCCATTATTTTTTGCTGGAATGCTTTACATTTAATTGACGTATATAATTAAAACCACATTAAAATAAATATTTTTTGGTAAAGGAATGTTTGGAAACTCATTTATATATTATATATATTATCTGCACAATATTTTAGATTTTTACATAATTACAATACAATTTTCTAACAATATGTATACAATTTAAAGAATATGATGTTATTATTTAGTGTTAGGATAGATTATTACAATATTATTAATTTACCGATGAAAACAAAAACATACAGAAGCCATGATGGTGCCATACATCGAATATATAATCAACTTATACATGAACAACAACAAAAAAATACTTAATAAAATAAAGATTTCAAAGTGGATTATTCCCCACTCTTGCTTTCTCTTTCAAGATAACTTTATTATAAATTTAGAAAATTGGGATGTAATTGTCAATTTTCGCACGGTGTTTTTGTGCAACACACTCAGCAATCCAAACAATGTTGCGACATTCTTGTTCCTTCAATTTAAGATAGGCATAGAAGACACCAAAGTGGAATTGTTGTAAGAAAGCATAAACATTTAATTTAACTTCGTGCTCAAAGAATTTATCTTCCAATGTTTTATCTCCGGGATTAGTGCCAGAACCGTCGAATAAAGCAGCATATTCGGCATAGTATTCAGCAACAGTTTTAACTTGTTCATAGTCGTCAGCACGAGCTAAAGCAGCTAAACCATCGGGATTCATTTTGCCACAACGGGGATACAACTTGGCACGGTCGTCCTTTGACAATTCAGTGCCAAAGGAATTAATGGTGATGATAATTGCACGACGATCAGCTTCGAACTGAAAAAGTAATACACACGTTTTTAAGTTACTTCAAATTTAAGGACTTTAAAAGGGCAAATTACTTACAGCTAAAATTTCACACATAACATCAGCAGTAGAACCACCCATTTTCTGACAAAAGTCGTAGAAAGCTTCCAAATAAGCCTTGTACAAAGTATTACGAATAATTTCAATGTTCATTTCATCCAAATCTTGTTCGGAGATACAATCAACGAAGAAAGGAGCCAATGGAGTATCAACCAACACAGCATTGTATAATTCAGCTGGAGTAGCAGCTACATGAATAGCTTCCATTTGTTCAAAACTACCCAATGGGTGGCATTTGGGGATTAATTCAGAAATGGGACGTTGATGAAGAGTACCAGTAATCAACAAAATGATGTTGTCAATCATATAACCATAGGTGATAAAATCCAAGAAACTGGCCAAGGGCTCAACAGCATGATTACGCATATGTTGGAATTCAATCACCAACTTTTCACGCAACTTATCGTCAATGACAGACACCGACAAAGGTGAAGGTTCGTTAGCCAAAAAACTACCATAATCCGTACCTTGTAAATGTAATTTTAAATCTAAAAAGACAATTTATTTAATTTACATATAGCCAAAAGTGAAAACAAATCACAAGACAATAAATGTAATTTCTACTAAATGATATTTTCGCACTGTGGTGTTGTTATTCTTATAGTTTATCTCTTTCTCTCTCATTACGCGGGATACACACAAACACATACTTGTCCCAACAAAGCGTATGTGTCACATGACCTGCCCTTGTAATTTTTCAAAAACATTCCTTCCCAGAATTACAAGTACCTCTTGTTTTAATGGTGTTACTTACCTTCCAATGTTTCGCATTGTACCAAATTCAAATAGTCGGATTGTTTCAAAATACCACACTTGAAGCCACGGCACAAACCTTCCAAGTAGCCACCATCAATGTTGAACATAAAACCTGATCCAGTCATTTTTAAG